TATAGACCAGGCTGGCCTTGAGCTCAGAGATCCACCTGCCTTTGCCTCCCAAGTGCTGGGATTAAAGGCATGCACCACCATGCCTGGCATAAAATAAGTTTTTAAAAGTAGAACAACAGGGGCTGGAGAGATGGCTCAGTGGTTAAGAGCACTGACTGCTCTTGCAGAGGACCCAGGTTCGGTTCCCAGCACCCACATGGTGGCTAAGAACCATCCTTAACTCCAGTTCCAGGGAAATCTGAAGCCTTCTTCTGACCACTGCAGCATTGCACGACACGAGTTCACTCACATACATGTAGGCAATACACTCATACACATAAAATAAAACCAATAAATAAAATTAGAAAGGAAAAAAACAAGTAAAACAACAAAACCAGAGCATTCCTAACTCACTGATTCAACAGAAGCATCATGTGTGCCCAAGCTGTGATCAGACCAACCCCATCCCTCACCTGCAATCCAATCGTAGCCCAGGTATGGCCAGAGGCGCCAGCTGCTCTCAGGCATCATCGACTCCTGGAAGAAGGTCACTCTGGGCTGTGGAGGGAGACCAGGAGGACAAGGGCTAGGTCAGCAGGCCTGACCCAGAGAAGGCCCCACTTCAGGGGAACAACAGGCTGCCTTGACTTAAACTCCAGTTTGGCCTCAGCCTCAGCTCAAAGCTCAGAAACAAGAAGTTAAGTTTCATCCAACTTTAAGTGTGGCTTTGAACACACCTGGGCTCCAAGCCTCAGTCTTCCCATCTGTACAACACATCATCTAAGAACTAAAAGCAATCACTGGACCCACAACACTAGACCTTCTAGAAGGCTCACCCTCTACAAAGGAGGCTTATCTAGGAGCACGTTTGTCACATAAGGAAACTGAGGCTCAAGGAAGCTCCCTATCAGTGGCTACCCAGTCTGACTTACCTTGGATGCCTTTCTTTGTCGTGACAGGGAAGACCTTAGGCCCTCTGTTTCCTGGGGCCCCAGATCTTTTGCTCCCCCTGAAGGCACAGGTTCCTTCAGACCTTCAATAGGTGGCGAGGGTGCTGAGTGGGGTCTCTGTCCACCCAGAGGCTCTGGGTGTTGGTATGTGACAGGTGGGAGAGAGTCCACACTGGAACTGGCCCTGCCACACCAGGATGTATCATGGGTGTTGCCTTGATGGCTGTCCAGTGGGTCGCACATATGACTTTTGTCCTGTGAGCTGGAGGCCCTGGAGGAGGTGGAGGAAGACTCTGGGAACGGTGGTGTCTTTAGGGAAGGTGTTGTCTCTGAGGAAGGTGGAGTCTCTGACTCGAAGTGGCAACTAGAATCCAGGTTTGACTGGAGAAGACAGGCGAGGTCACCCAAGTGGCCTCCTGGCCACTGCCCACTCACTGCAACCTGCTCTGGACACCAGGAATCTTGGTCTTTATCTTCCTCCAGCCTCAGCAGTGCCCCAGTCCTGTCTCTGCCTCCCAAGGCCTCAGTTTTACACTATCAGCGAAATAGGTACATTGGATAAGATGATCCTGGGTCTTGGGCATGGTCCTGTGAGGAGCCCCTCTTCAACCCTGGACACCCACCTTTGAGGCTGCCCTTGCCACAGACCGACGCACGGCATCCTGCCCAGCCCACAGCTGCCTCAGGAGCTCTAGATTGAGCCGCCGAAGCTGAGCAAGGTCTTTTGTCTCTGCCATCCTTGGGCCCGGGGGCTAGGCTGTCAGAGATGATCACAAGAGGTATTGAGGCTGGGATCCACCTGAAGTCAAAACAGCATGAGAGCTGGGTGTGATGGCATACACCTTTGATCCCAGCATGGGGTAGGGGCAGGGGAAGAGATAGAGGTAGTGAATCTCTGTGAGTTCCAGGCCAACCAGAGTTGGGAGGGTGCCCTGTGCCACAGGCCTGAATTCAAATCATTCCTGGGATTCTAGCTGTGCTGCCTCACTCGGGTTACTTAACCTCTCGGAGTCTCTTGTCCCAACCTCACCATGCTGTCATTAAGGCTAAACAAGGCAGTGCATATTAAACCCTCAGTACAGTGCCAGCTACAAAACCAGCACTCAATAAATGCCTATTACTACTAACCAGGCCAGGAGACTAACAGCCTTCCCTAAGTAATCTGATTTCTGGAGGACAGCGAGATGGCTCATTGGGTAAAGGTGCTTGTTACCAGCCTTGAGAATCTGAGTTCGACTCCCAGGACCCACATGGTGGAAGGTGAGAAGTGATTCCAAGTTGTCCTCTGACCTCCACACATGAGCCCTGGGATGAATGCATGACCACTCACACATGAATGAATGTTA